AAGCAAATGTCAATCTTTAAACATGTCTCAGCTGATCGACTACATTGAGGTAATTGTAAAGTGTGCATTTTATTTTTCGCCAAACTATTCCTTTAAATCTCACTACTGCACTATTAACAAAGGCTAATCTAAAGTTTATGACCTAATTTACCTTTTGTATTTGATTCCTGTTTTAGATTTATAACAATAGTTTTATTTTCCTTGGGAGTTCTTCTGCAATACTGACCCACATCTACTAAATAAGTAGCCCTCGCCACTTGTTTTTATCCCTCTGATCCTTTCTTCCTTGAATTCCTTTGTCACCATGAGATGATACGTCACTGGTTGGCAATATTTGACGTCATATATGCTCTTGCACTGCCTCTCCCTGCCTCTCCTATCCCAGAGGACTTTGCACAATTATGTCTGTGTCTCATTCTTCATTCCCTGCACCTCTTTCTCTTGCACTGTTTTTCTCTCTTCAGCCCATCCCTCGCACTCATGTTCTTGCCTTTTCTCTCTTGTTCTCACATTGAACATTTTTTAGTTGAACATGCCTTTCTTTCTCTTCTCAGCTTTCCAGTTCTTTTTTTTTCCTCCCATCAATGATGGAACTTCACATATTGTTGAAACTCATGACCTTTCACCTTCTTCTGATGTCCACTCCCAATTTCCTGTGTGTGTGTGTGTGTGTGTGTGTGTGTGTGCTGTAGTCATAAAGAAAGCATATCCTCTGTACACTCGGTGTGTGGGCAGGTGGATAGAATGCACAGTGTGTGATATTTATATGTGTGTTGCTCTATGTCATGCAGAACTCTAAGCTGAGGATATATTCATACCTAAAGCATGAGAGATCTCCTTTCATCCTGGGTGTTTTTGTTCAGCAAAATCTATAGATTCATCCTCTGGATTCTTGTTACTGTCAGAAAACATGTCTGAAAACATACTTGGTTTGGACATATTCTTGTAAATGTACCATTAAAGGTACAATGCTGAAGTTCAGTTTTGTCCCTTAAATGTATTTTAAAGATGCACTACATCCACTAGGTCTAACTAAACTTACAAAAGTCCGTAATGACAAGCTGTTATTAGATTAGTATATTTTATTTCCTGAAAATTTACCAAGAGAAAAGCATCTGGACTGTTTTTTTCTCTGTTATGTGCACATTTACTGCATCCTACCATGATCTGTCTCATTCTTATGATCTGTGAAGCAATATTCTAAGTCTAAAATGTACTACATGCTTTCTCTAGTGTTGCAAACCCACTAATAGAGACAGTGGTGCAGATGCTTCACTCTAAATTGTGTTAAATGAATACACATAGTGTTAGACTGGGCTGAAATTTAGCTATATACATCCACACACATGATTTCTGCACACACACACACACACACACAGTTGCTTGCTCTTTATTTTTAACCCAGTCCAGTGACTGAGACACGGGCTCACAGATGACGCAGATACAAACGCAACACTGACACCAACAGACACCAAGAGATAGAAGAAAGAATAGAGGGAGGAGAGTGTGAGCTAGAGTGGGAGAAAGGAGAGAGAGAGTGTAGAAAAAAACAGAACTTGTTGTCAGTAAGGGACAAGCTATTACAAAGATATGGATAAAGAAAAGAGGGGGGTGTAAACAGGTGTGAATGAAGTGAGTTCAGTGCTTCTCGGTGTATATATCTGAGTGATGAAACCAGAGGAAAAGCAAACACTTGCACCCCTGTTCCTGAAAACTGACAGCCAGCACACGTATGTGCAAAGACTACTCATTTGCTCTCTCTCTTCTTTTCACTCTCTTTCTGACGTTCTCCCTCTCTCTCCTCCCAGTTCACTCCCACTAGTTTGTTTAGGGGAGATAAATAGGTTACATCACACTCCACTGAAAGACGTTTTGTAGGGTTCCAGAAAAAGAAGTGCATCACCCCCGGCTAACTTGCAACGCGACTATGACGCAAAGAGAGGTCTATAAGACACACTCTGTGAGTTTGTGTGTGTGTGTGCGTGTGTGTGTGTGTGTCTCAGACAGATAGAGCAAAAGACATATTTCTACATCTTGCAATGGCTTTGCTATAAAAGACTTACAGTACAGTACTGTCAGAAATAAAGATACTGTACAGTTTGCATCTCATTCTTTACAATACAAATGTAGTTTTGAATGTACAATTATGTGTCTTAATGATGTTTCTTTGCAATTATGTTTCTCTGCAATTATGTTTCTCTAATGTACAAAAGACAGACCCCTGAGGGTGCCACCACAACAGCAACTGTAGCGTTTGTACCCATAAATCCCAATTTACTGCCTTTTGTTCCTGAGAGCCTGCTTTCTGTGCTTGCTTACTTTACTGCTGCTTTGAAGTTATGCGCTTCAGGAACTCAATGTGAGGTAATTGAATAATGGATGATGAGGTTTGAGGTGTTATTTGTGCCCATATTTGTGCAAAAACCTCAGCTCTTCACTTCCTCTAGTGGTCGCAGTGCACCACTGCAAGAACATTCAATTACCTCATATTGATTTCCTGCCGAGCCTACAGATAACTTTCTCTCCTTCATCCATCCCCCAATTCCTCTGAAATCAAATCTATTTCCCCCTTGTTAATACTCAGAGCCCACGAATTGAGTAAATATAAGAAGAAAGAGACAGATCACACACTCAACCTTCTACCCCATGCCTGCCTACTGATATTCCCCTACAAGCACAGCTGGAGTGTGTCTCTGGAACACAGCAGCCTCTAACAAGGTAATGGGAATCTGACTTCAAACTGGAATCTGACGTCAAACCTGACATCAAACCTGAGATATAGACGTGTGTGTGTGTGTGTGTGTGTATGTGTGCGTGCCTAGAAGCAGTGACCTGGTGTGGGAAGGATGACAGTAAGATGGTATACTGAGATGAGATGTGTTTCTACTGAGTGACTGAGAAAGGCTTGAAGCTGTTGTGTAATGCACACACATACACATGTTTGTCTTACAATCCTTGTGAGGACCTTCCTTTGACATGATTATTAATGAAGCTAACTAATGCTAGGCCTACAGCTAAATCCATAATCCTAACCTTGTTAACCAAAAGGACACTATTTGGTTAATATTTGGTCTCCACCAAGATATAAAAACATGACACACACACACACACACACACACAGCAAAGCACATGATGAAAGCATTTGAATCATATGAGTCATAAATATGAGTGTATTTGTGTGATGTCTCTAAATGCGTGAATTATTATTCATGGATATTTCATTGTTATATATACAGTGTATTCACCAGTCTATATGACCTCTAACTGCTACTATTTGAAAGACTATGAGTTTTCAAACGTCAGAGAAACTGTAGCTTATTGTAATAATAAAATCCACAAACGCAATAGTCAGTTATAAAATAACGTCATGTCAGTCCAATAACAGCTCCACACAACAAGCTTGCAACAAGTGTATTAAAAGTATATTCACCAAATTGTGTATGTTCTGGTAGTCCTGTTCCCCACATGCAAACTTATAATTTCAAAGTATTGTACATCATGATAGTTAACTAGCTAAACCTGGTAGTAAGGTTGCCAGCAGCCACTTGCACAAGTTGAACATAAGTTTGGACATTAACACTAAAATGGTTTTAAATATTTTGTGATGTACTTTAGCAATAATCTCAATATGTCCTGTTTTGCAATAGCTAACAAAAGCATTTGTTGCACTGCCTGATATAAAAACAACCTATGTGTCATTTATCTTATCATCCCATACATTTATATGGGGGCAGTCGTGGCCTAATGGATAGAGAGTCGGACTTGCAAAAAAGGCTGCCCACTGCTCCAGATGTGTGTTCACGGTGTGTGTGTGTTCACTACTGTGTGTGTGCACTTGGATGGGTTAAATGCAGAGCACAAATTCCGACTATGGGTCACCATACTTGGCCACAAGTCACTTCACTTCACTTATACAAAGTGAAGAAAAAGTATAAGAGTGAGATATCCGGTGATCATAGACCACAAAAATACTTCCCACAAAGATGGTAAACGTACTTTTTACTCTGTACACATTGCACTTTGAACAAAATGGCAGATGTTATGCATACTAATTAATAAATTAAAACCATGCTACTTGGTGCAACTGTTACTTTTAAGTGGTCCATAATCTCAAATATAGTCACCATTTACATTCAAACTATGCTACAATGGAGCTTATGTTCTACTGGTGCAACCAGCTGCAAGTCTTCATAAAAAAAGCATACTTGCTAGTGCATTCTTGTAGATATAATAAATCTAATATTAGCAAAAGTCCAACCACCCACCCACAAATAAAAAAAAATCTACCCCTGGCAGCAGGTCAACAGTAGCCGAGTTTCTTGGAGAACCCACACATACTTGGCAACACTGGTTTGCAGTGCTAATGATAACTAGTTAGCTAGCCTGGTCTGTTTTGGGATCTTCCAGAGATAAGTCAGTGTCTATAACCTAATCCATGACAAAAATGATGTTGTATAGTTTGTATTTAGAGAAATAAAGAACTATGGACTGTTGGCCAGTGACACCAGCCGTTCCTGCACCTTGATGAAATGATAAAGGGCTAACAGGAAGGAAACAGGAACCTCATAACATATTTGTAATTAGAGCTTGTATGCTCATGTTCATGGGCAAATCTCTTGGTTGGGAAACTTGTACTGACAATACTAGAGATGTGCATTGTGACTGAAATCCCATGGGACCCAACAAAAAGATCGTGGGTGCAGGCGTTCATGCAAACGGCTGGCCAGACATATAGCTACCTGCACAAAGAAAAGCCACGTTCATTAGCACAGGAGCATATTGGACAGGGTGGGTTGCTACCATGTTCTTTCATCATCCATCTTAAATAAATGCTTTATTCTGTTTAGTGTCTCTGTGGTTTAAATGACTTCTTTGTATGTTTATTGAGAAATAGAAAACTTTAAGTGTAAAGAAATTCATGGACCACCTCAGTACAGAATTATTGTGCACACAAACTATTTAAAAAATTAAGCAGGTTATTTAAATGGGTACAGTATGGGTTCCTGGAGGACTAGTGGTTAGGCCTTGGCGCTCTCACCACTACGGCCAGGGTTTGATCCCCGGCCAGGGAACCAACCCCAGCACACAGCAGTGCACTCCCAGTGCCGGTCCTAAACCTGGATAAAATTAGGGAGGGTTGCGTCAGGAAGGGCATCTGGCGTAAACACTGTGCCAAATCAAACATGCAGACCAATGATCCGCTGTGGGGACCCCTAATGGGCACAGCCGAAAGAAGAAGAAGTACAACAACAGCATTTAAATGTGTACAGTAATATTTTTGCTATTTATTGGAGACAGTTTCTGAACTATTCTGAAATATTTTTACTAAAATTAGTACTAGATTTCAGGTGACAGTATTTATAGGCATAAATGCTGTAATAATGGTGGGATGTGATTTCCACCACTGTAACAAAATGAGAAAATCACAGAGCCCCTGGCTTTGCTTCATGGACCCCTGGGTGTTCCCAGACCCCACTTTGAGAACCATGGCTCTAGATGATATGTTTTAATGAGCTTTAAGATGTCTTTCTGTATGAGCTGAGTCCTCCTGAGTGTATAAAAGCATGTATATGAGCACCTCATCACTTCATGATCCTCTCTCTTAAGCACTTTTGCCTCATGCATGGCAGAGTTCATCCATGTACGACCTTCAAATGACTTTGTCACCCTAAGTGTTTGATTTCGTATCGATGCGGATGTTTCTGTAATCATGTTGTATCCACTGAGTGGGTGATTAGCCTGCCAGCTTCACCAGAGCCCTGTTGACCAGGTGGATACAAACAGGCCTTCATGGCATCCGTAAAGGCCTGGATAGTTAGGATACCCATCATAGGTCACACTGTGTGGCAGTTCTGTGCTTTGCCTGTTTCCACCTCCCATGACAAGGACGAGCATGATCCTGGTTTATCAGATTAAATTAAATATTTTCACATTGTTCAGTGAATGTATAACAGGTATTTTAATATCTAACAGAAATTTTGGGCTATAATTGTATTTGATTACAGAACATCAATTATTAAGAAATTCAACAAGTAAAAATACTTGATTAAATACCTGCCAGTAGTACTGTTGTTAGTCAGAGACCTTTGGATAATATATGGTATAATTGTTTTATTAAAGTCACCATAATCTTAATAAAAGAAAAGTTTTGTTTTGATTAAAGTTTTAATTAAATTGTCACTGAAACTTTGCTTCATGGGTTAAAAATGTTGAACACATGATGGGAAAATGTTATTGACACTAGTTTACCTGTGAGGGGGTGGGGAATAAATGTTTGGGGTGTTTTCATATTCATAGAATCTAGATTTCTTCATCAGAGTAAAAGTTTAGGCACCTTTTTCATTGTCCAATATAGAACTAATGTTATGGTCTTGAAAATAGGTTTTCAGTGAATTTAAACAATTTAACGTGCAGCTTGCAATATTTAAGAGTTTCTAGACCTAGAACAATCATATAATTTTAAAGGTACTGTGAAAATTTTGTTATTCACAGTAGTGCCTTGAAATGGTTTTAGGGGCACAGAAATTAGCCCACCCCTGGCCAGAACAGAGATTAGCTTAACTAAAAGGCATATGTGTATCATCAGAGGAAGTGATGTCGGTTCGGGTAAAGGGAGGAAGCTTGTCAATGTTTTAATTTTTCATTTCAAATTTGCCTCACAGGCAGCAGAGGACATTAAAATTTATAAACTGCTCCTCTAAGATGAAGGCCTATGCTAGTTTAGATACACTGGTAATGACTAGAGCCATTCAGCTAATCTAACACCAGTTTCTTTTCATACTCAGTTTTAGTTTATGTCAGAAAGATAGCTCCTAGAAAAGTATTAGAATAGCTGAAGCTATGAATAACACAGAACAGAGTGATGCCACATATTTCCTTTTTATTTCATAAAGATGAGGGGTTTTCATATGGTCTTGAAGCCCAAACCTCACTCTTTGTCACCCTACTCATACCCATCCATGTCAATCATCTCCCCTGATCCCAACCCCAGTTGGAGAAAAGAGTGTGAAGTGGTTTGCTTGATTTTCTCAGGAGAATAGAGGAATAGAGGATTTGAGGATGAGGAAGAGGAGGATGAGGGTGAGAAAACAGGAAAAGAGAGGAGAAGAAAAGTATGAGATATGAGATAGGAGAGAGAAAAAGAGTGTGCCATCCTACGCTTAACAAACACACTATCACTATCTATGGTCAGTAGCCATGATTTATACCATTACATAGACTCATAACCCATTACTCTCTTCCTGTTTCCCTTATATGGATGGCATGATCCTTCTCTCCTTCTTGTCCCTTGCTCCTCCCCCTCTCCCCTCGGCTCCACACCCTCTCTTTCTCTCCCCACCTCTCCCTCTCTTTCCCATCCTCTCAAACCCTCACTTGCTGGCCACGGTGTAGGAGCCATCTGGGTGCCACTGCATGTCACGCACACGCCTCACGGACTGCATCTGGGGGAAGCGAGCACCATACTCATTAAAGTGCTTGTAGTCACCCTTCTCCAGCAGGTATTGACTGCCACGGTAGCCCGGGTATTGGTAGCCCACCCAGCTGAGGGAGGAAAGCAGAGGAGAGGAGATTCGATGAAAGGCAGGAAGGAATAGGAGATCTGTGGGCGTGAGGAAGTGTGCCGGTGGGTGCAAAGGTAGAACATGTAGGAGAGACAGTAATGAATAGAGACTGTGCAGTGATTTTTAATCAAGGTTCAGACAAGACTGACCCCTTGTGAGCTGGGCTTTACCATGCTGTGCATTTTCACAAATGGATTTTTAAAGCATATTGGACATGAAAATGGAAAACTCTGCATTTGTGACTCAGTTTAAAGGTAAAGTGTAGTGAGCAGGTTGGATCATTTAATGTGTATATCTCACCACCAACATTTCGAAAAAGTTTTAGAAATCTCTCACAGAACTAAAGACTAAATCATCTGATTTTTCTGAAATCCTAATTTTAAACTTGGCTCTTGGTAACACACACGTAAGCAAGTAGCCCAGTACTTACGTGCCACAGCTGACCATGATGCTGCCAACTCGGTCAGTGAAGCCGTAGGAGTACAGACTGGGCACATCGTCATTGATTATCTCCATCTTTCGCCCCTTATAGTCGCCAATCTCATACAGACAGATCTTGTGCTTCTCTGGGTCCTGTGGCAAACAAAAGTTATTTTCTATTTCTAAGCTTTCCAAGCAGATTTACCCTGACATCACATCTACTCTGAATCTGTCCACACTAACCCATCAAATCTGCCACTTTCCTTATATGGTCACTGCTTCCTGTCCTTGAAACTTGTTCTCATTAAAGAAATACACAGATTCAAATAAGAGAGGGTGATGTAGTTGGATCTAATTTAATGTTATACAAATAAAGTTATAAAAAAATGTATGAACGCTAACTTCACCCGCAACCCTAAGCTTAATCTTCATAACTTTTCGTATGAATTGTACAAACATGAAACCATTTTGATTCTTGTTAACTCTGTTTGTTGACTTGTTCCTTCTCTGATTATTTACATCTTTTGTTTACTCAGTTGCCTTGCTATACTCTTAAAAAAGGGATTATTTGGATAATTCCAAAATTCCAGGGAAACACTCTGTTCTATGTAGAAACCTCAGTTTTCCACATGGACACACCAAAAACCCATTAGGAATAAAAACCAATAGGAAACCATCGCTTCTCTGACTTTTGGCAAAGTATAGTGTCTGTTCTTTTGTCAGTTTAATATCTGTTATGTCCTTTATATGAAGACTTCATATGAAACTGATTTTCAGAACAGGGAGCTCCACCTCCTCCACACATTGACCTGGTATTGCAGTCTGAGTAGATTGTCAGATTTTTTTTTTATTATTATTTGATGACCCTGTGCTGTTTTTATCACCCTGTGTTTTGACCTCTGCCTGGGGCACTGACTATGATTAATAGAACAGTCCTAGTAAATACACACGAAGATGTCAGTTTCATCCTGAAATGTCAGTATCACCCTGAGCCCTGACCTTCAATTCTGCACTTGCTATTTTGATTATAGTGACATTGTTGACATTAATGAGGCACCTTCAACATAGAGAATAGCATCCTATAGTGCATTGGGTTTTAGAACAGGCATGGTTAAAACAATATCTTGATGTAATTAGTCAACAAGATGAAAACGTTAAGAAACTGTGAAAGGAAATTAACATGCTTCCTGTAAGCATGATATAAAGGTAAAAGGACATTGATATTAACATATCCATAATAAAGCTTTGAAAGGTTATATTTATCGAATATGGATAGTATAATATGTGTATGGATATTACACATATTATATTTACTTGCTTTTATAGAAATCTGCAAGCAGGAAGTACATGGCTTTTGTCATGTGACCATCACCACCCACATGAATGAAGTTCACATTAATGCCAGTAATATGTCATAATATCAAGTCAGTTTCACCCAGTGGGGTTGAATGGGTTAACAAATGAGACCATAGCATAATGGTGAATAAACATAAAACTATAGCTTCAGAAATAGAGTTAGTTTTAGGGTTCATGGAGAGAAGAATTTATACCATGCGGACAGGTCTGAAAGAGAGCAGATAGTCGTTCCTCTGGCAGTTGCTCCAGCAGTCCCAGCGAGGATACTCGCCTTTCTCCAGGATATACATCTCACCACAGAAGTTCATCTGCTCAAAGCCAACAAAACTACAGACAGAGCAGAATAGAAAGAAAGAGAGAGAAAGAAAGAAGGAGAGAGAAGGAGTAGGGGGGGGCAGTAAGTGTCAGGGTGAGTAACTTGACTTGAGGATCTCACTATAACTGTTACTGTCATGTCTGAAATAACGGCATGTAACTGTTTATTACTCACGGGCCACATTCAACACGAAGAGAGCGCACTTTGTCCATGCCCATCTCACACACGTTCATACACTCATTACTGATTTCAATCATACGGCCCTGGAAGTTTTCACGGTCAAACACGTACATCTACAAGAGTGAGGAAGAGAGAAATGGAGAAGAATGAGAAGAGAAAGATGTGTAAAGGTAAGATGAGCAGAGCTAAGAGAAACAAAGACAACATATAATAACTTTTATTATAAATAATAGCATTT